ATTGAGATTGATATTTCTGTTTATGGTCAAATGGGTGAGTGAGTGTAAGTGTGAACCACCAGGTGGTATTCGGTATTCGTGTAATTAGTTGACAGGGTGTATAAGGAGATAAGATGTTTTCTGATGGTAGTTTTGAAGGTGATGAATGTGTCTGCAGTTTTAGAATTTTCAGGTAGGGTGTTCCAGATTTTAGGGCCTTTGACATACATTGAATTTTTGTAAAGGTTTAGTCGGACACGGGGAATGTCATAGAGATGTTTGTGTCTGGTGTTGTGCCTGTGGGTTCTGTCACAACTATCAAGAAAGCGTTTTAGGTCAAGGTTAATATTGGAATTTAAGGTCCTGTAGATGTAGATTGCACAGTAGTAAGTGTGGATGTACTGAACAGGGAGTAAGTTTAGATCTATGAAGAGTGGGGGGGGGGGGTGTTGCCAGGGATGGGATTTAGTGATTATTCTTGCTGCGGCTTTTTGTTGGGTTATTATTGGCTTTAGGTGTGTTGCTGCAGTTGAACCCCAAGCACAGATAGCATAGGTGAGGTATGGATATATAAGTGAATGGTATAGTGTGAGAAGGACAGTTTGCGGCACGTAGTATCGTATCTTGGAGAGGATCCCAACCGTTTTGGATACTTTTTTGGTTATGTGTTGGATATGGGTGCTGAAGTTCAGGTTGTTGTCGAGGTATAGGCCTAGGAATTTGCCCTCATTATGCCTGGCAATTAGAGTGTTGTCGATCTTAATGTTAATTTGTAATGGGAAGAATTTTTCGTGCTCTAGAGGTTAAAATTGTGTTGACACCTCTCAAATAGGAGGCTAAATTGGTGGATGTGCATTCCTGCATAACTTGAGATATCAGACGACTGGACAAGACAGCTCCAGGAACCTCAGATAAGCCCTCTAGATTTGTGTGTAATTCTGGTCAGCATTATTTTCATAGATTTAGTTAGAGTGAGGTTTTCTGAGTATGATACACATTAATCTCCAGTCAAATTGGTGAGTGATATTAAGATATATTTTCTTTCTGTTATGTAATTGTGTATATATATAACCATTTATTATTTTTAATATACAGTCCACAAATTTATATATTTACCAGTATTCCTGGTGTATGTATATTTCATTTAATTAATAGGTCCAGAGCAACTTGTGGTTATGACAGTGGTAGGTATCGAAGGGGGACATTTTTGCGACCTAGGTGTCCCAAATTCCTACTTGTCTATGTAACATTGATAAATAATAATTATCTTTGTTATCATTTACTGTTATGTACATAATTAGTTACATTCAGATAAATGCAATTTTCCACAACCAATATTAATACAATCATACACAGTGTAAATTACCTAGTGTGGAAAATTTTTATAATTTTCCTAAATTTAGTGTAAAAAATTAAATAATGTAATATTTAAAATGTATTGTTGGTGTGACTGAAAATAAAATGGGAATTGCAAAATGAATCGTCACACCGGCAGGGAAGAGACGTCACAATTAATGAATCTGGGTAGAGTGGTTGTAAATGTATGTAGAGTAATCTGGCGTCATCGAGGCCAAAATTGAGTGGATCGGTCTCGGACTATAATTAATAAGTACTGGAACGTCCCCCATAGAAGATCTCGTATAAATTTTGGACGAAACCACTAAAGTGGTATCAAGGAAGAATTAGAGGACGCCACTCTTGGGTGAACCAAATCGCATGTAATACATACTTAACCTTAAATTATTAGTATACATTGCCTTGGCCAATGCATATATTAGCATAGGGTAGCATCAGGATGTGGCTACAATATAAATGGTAAGTTAATGTCTATAATTTTTAACATTGTAATAATAATAATAAAAGTGATGAAAATTTTTACCCAGTGATTAGGTATACTGATGTTCCAGTTGACAATTTCTTAAGATCAAGTCTTTAATATTATATACAGTCCACATAATCTTAATTTTCCAGTGTTACTGGTGTTATTAAATGATAATTATTAATATAATAATAGGTCAAGCTTAGTGTGTGTTTGGTTTGGAGTGAGTGGGCATCGAAGGAGGTGCAGTGCTGTGACCTGTACCTAAATGCCCATCTAACTCTGAGGTGCATCTAACCCAAATTACATGCATACAATAGTTCAGGTTAATACCTGTACACCTCATGCTAGTAACCTCTCACACCCAACAAAGTAGTTAGTTTATTTTGTGTTCCTGCACTCAACATCAAAATTTGACGCGTGTTTATCACCAAATTAATAAGGCTGCCTTTTAACCGTACAGAACCAAATTATTTCCCTTTCGGCTCATCCATGAAAATTCAGAGGATGTGTATATCACCTATGAATAGTTTTCCATCATTATAACCTGTATATGGATGACTATCCTGTGTGTTAGGCTAACATAAATATTACCATACTGGAAGTGGAAGTCCAGTGCCTGCACTCTGAAGGCGGGGTGGGGATGTTGCAGTACTGGAGGTATACCTGGAGAGGGTTACGGGGGTCAACGCCCCCACTGCTCGGTCTGAGACCAGGCCTCGTGGTGGATCAGGGTTTGATCAACCAGGCTGTTACTGCTGGCCGCACGCAAACTAACGTAAGAACCACAGCCCGGCTGGTCAGGTGTTGACTTTAGGTACATGTCCAGCGCCTTTTTGAAGACATCCAGGGGCCTATTGGTAATCCCCCTTATGTATGCTGGGAGGCAGTTGAACAGTCTTGGGCCCCGACACTTGTGTTGTCTCTCAGTGTACTCGTGGCGCCCCTGCTTTTCATTGGGGGAATTTTGCATCTCCTGCCGAGTCCTTTGCTTTCATAGGGAGTGATTTTGGTGGGCAAGTTTGGATTGCGTGCAGCCAGCAGTAACAGCCTGGTTGATCAGGCTCTGATCCACCAGGAGGCCTGGTCACAGACCGGGCCGCGGAGGCGTTGACCCCCGGAACTCTCTCCAGGTAAACTCCAGGTCTCCAGGTAAACTAATCTCTTTAGGATTTTCCAAGTGTATATTATCATGTATCTATCTCACCTGCGTTCCAGGGAATACAAATCAAGGGACTTCAACTGTTCCCAGTAATTTTGGTGCCTTATTGTACTTGTGTGCCGGGAAAGTTCTTTGTACACTCTCCAGGTCAGCAATTTCACCTGCCTTGAAGAGGGCAGTTGGTGTACAGCAGTCTTCCAGCCTATAGAGAACAAACGATTTGATGAAAATCATGGGCTTGGGGTCCCTAGTTTTGAAGATTCTCATTATCCATCCTATCATTTTCCTATCAGATGCGGTAGATACATTGTTGTGGTCTTTGAAGGCGAGATCCTCTGACATTATCACTCCCAGGTCCTTCACATTACTTTTTCGCTCTATTGTATGGTTAGAATTTGTTGTATACCCTGATACAGTTTTAATATTCTCAAGTTTTCCATATCTGAGTAGTTGAAATTTCTCTTCATTGAACTTCATATTGTTTTGAGTGGCCTATTTGAAGATTTGGTTGCTGTCCGCTTGGAGTTTTGTTGTGTCTTCGATGGAGGTCACTGTCATGGCAATTCGCGTGTCATCTACAAAAGAAGACACGGCTTACATCTCTGTCTATGTCAGATATGAGGATGAGGAATAGGATGGGAGCGAGTACTGTGCCTTGTGCAACAGAGCTTTTTACCATGGCTGCCTCGGACTTTACTCTTTGTGTTCTATTCGTCAGGAAGCTATTAATCCAGCTGCCAACTTTTCCTGTTATTCCTTTATCACACAATTTGTGCGCTATTACACCGTGGTCACACTTGTCGAAGGCTTTTGCAAAGTGTGTATACTACATCTGCATTTTGTTTATCCTCTACAGCTTCCAGGGCCTTGTCATAGTGGTCCAATAGCTGGGACAGGCAGGAACGACCTGCTCTAAACCCATGTTGCCCTGGGTTGTGTAATTGATGGATATCTATGTGGTTGGCGATGTTGCTTCTTAGAACCCTTTCAAAGATTCTTATGATATGGGTGGAAACAATGTCTGCACTCTGGAAGAAGAGTGGGGATTTTGCAGTTCAGAGGGTCATCTGAACTGTGATGCCAGTACACTTCGGGCAAGAAACCCATTGAATGAATGATGGCGGTTGTGTTTCCTCTTTTATTTTGTCTCCCTGCCTCGGTGGGAAACGGCCGGCGTGTAAAAAAATGTTTTATCCTTGCAAATTGATATATAGGTTAGAGTATACAGCTTTAAAGAAGTGTTACCTATTATTAACACCGCTGCAGACTTGAGCCTACTGGGGCTTTTAGGCCCCTTAATTTTACTTTCTAGCGGATGCTAGTCTTTCTGAAGAAGCATATATTATTTTGCTGGCTACATGCTTAGCCTCCTTGATCTGACAATTTCTGTATCTCATCTTGCATTAAATGATATACCAGACTCAGAGGACTAAATGGATTTTACAGAGGCCATTCTAAAAACTGTGGAAAAAGCGTCTAAAGGTGCACATTTTGCCTAGCATGAGTGTAATTAAATATTATTGGATTGTGAGGTGCAGTATTGCCTGCTCCATTCTTTCTACACGCTTCTAGAGGGAAGCCTTCACATGACTTTATTTTCGCCTCATGTATAATTTCAATCTTTTAGTGCTTCTTTTATATGAAATTATGTAATACTGAACTTAGAATAACCTGATAAAGTAAAACAAATGCGACATTTCCACTGGGATCCTTGTCGACGAGGAGGGCTCTTGATGGAAGGAATTCGAGCAGCCCTCCTTTCCTTGGATCAAAATTTATTAGTTTCCATTTCCAAGGACTCCATAAACTCTTACGGGTTTAGCACTTTCACATGATTTTATTTTATTTTTAATTTCTACACCAGCAAAACGCCGTAAACACCACTGTCAAACGCAAGAGCAAACTAGTTTACCAAATAAAGTCGATTGCATTTCTACTTTTGTGCTCATTTTCCCAATAAGCATTATTAAAATTCTGTTTTACCAAAGAGCTGAATTATACACATTTATGCAGAATGATGAGAGATTAATGTTGGTTGTTGCGGTAGGAGGTGTGGGTGTGGATGGCGGCAGCAAGCCGAGGTTGCTATTGTGTTCCTGAGACTTGAGAAAGCAACACCATGGGCGTTGATGTTCACACTATTTCACCGGGAAATGGTGAGCTAATGTACAAAATCCATATCCTAGGAAGTGTTTCCAGCACGACAGTAGGTGGATGATAGTAGTGTTGGCAGTAGTAGTGTACCCGAGAGTGTTGCAAGGGCCTGTGATGTGATGCTTGACTGAAGCACATATATTTGGATTGCCTGACTGATTTCCGTAATTTTGTACCGCTACCAAAATTGAGTATTTCCCTAGCTAATGGATTTGCATTGATTACAGTGTTAGCATTGCGCGTAGTATGACGACTAAGGTGTGTAAATGCGTATTAAGTGTGAGTGTAGGGAGTGAAGGAGAATGTTAAGGTGGTCACAGCCGCATTCCTGAGTGCGCATGTCACCTCAAGGACGGTCACTCACTCATTGCGGGCAAAAGCCACTTTTTACCACTTTAAAACTACCTCATAAACCACCTCCACTTCTCGTTTGACAACATATTTCCTGGACAAGTGAGGGTTGTAGCGGGCAGGGAGTATTGATATGCTTATACTCAAGTTTAGGGGCAAGTGCAGCTAGGCTTGTTTATATAGGCCTATTATATATATTGTGAAAAATTTAGTGGTTTTATGTGATAAGTTGCGTAGAATTTAACCTGGGGTAAACCTTAGTAAAGTCAAGGAGTGCGACTTATTTCCATTGTGGTGCCTGGGGGCAAGGAGTCAGGAATTATTTCAAGGACTTGTGGAAGCAGAGGCTGGTATGTGAGGCCACCGGGTGGTGGTAGTGGTGGTACCTGTTAAGCAACCCTAGCCAAGAATACTTGTGATGGAATCTGGCTTCTCATATGGAGAATGCAGCGGTTGCACCACCAAGCCTCTTCCGAGATGTTTCTTGAGGCTCCTGATCCAAGAGGTTGGATGTGTCCTTCCGTTTGGATGGAACCTAGTTGAGGTTATCAGTGTTGATTAATAAGTGTAGGCAAGACTTGAACAGTAACTCACATTTATATAAGATTTTTCACACAATGGAAGACACCTGCAGTAACTAGGGCATTTATTAGGCATATATTTTACCCAAGGACCCAAGTGGAAATAGTCACTGACTTTTGGGTTATCCTAGGTAATATACACGTTACTATGTATGATGATTGTATACCTGTACCTAAATAAACTTGCAAAGATGTGTACAGTAACTAGGAGATGTTCCACCCAATAAGGGTTTTTTCAGTTTATTACAGAGAATAGAAAACTATAGAGGTGCATTATGACCACTACTGTGTTAGGTCTGCCCCATTATTGTAATCAAGGGGAGGAGTTCCTAGATTCCAATCAGGGACTCTTGATGAAAGGAATTGCAGGTACACTTTCCTTCCTTGGATTAAACATGATTCTCATTCCCCAGGTGTAATAAGATCCCTATGGGTTAAGTGCTTTGTGAATATAATGTACAACAGAGATATGTTGAGCAGTATGACAAGCAACTTTAATCTACATTGATTTTATTAATCTTTTAAAGGAAAGGGAAGTAAGGAGCTGCCTCCCCCCCCCCCTTTTTTTTTCTAGTCTAATTGCCTCTCTTTCCCAAGGTGTTGTATGACCCCAATGATTTTATCACTTACACATGAGAATAATAATTAAATTCTGAGTTATCCTTAGTTCAGTAGACATAATATACCATGTATATCAACATCTGTATGCTATCATAACCATTGTTAAAATTTATACTTGTGCATAAATATATTTTAGATTGTCCTAAAAAACTTGCGCTGCAAATACAGTACAAGGAGTTTAAGCATTTATACTGGTCCTAATAATGTGCACATATGCAAATAATTTTGAACAATTTATGGTAACACAAAAGAATTAACAGTATACAGGTATATAAAAGTATTTAATCTTTTAGAAATAAGACCATTAAAATAGTGGAGTACTATTGCAGTAGAGCTGGTCCATGCTAGTAGTTAGGTGCAAGTCACACCCAACCACACCCACCCATGTACCTGTTCTACTTGTCCTTAAAGCTACCTAAAGTGTTCCCTTCATTGATGCTATTTGCGGGTTTGCTCACTCGTCTACAATTTCCTCCCCCCCCCCCAAATCATTGCTTTTCTAAATCAAAATTTCTCTAACTTGAATCCATTGCTGAGAATCCTGTTTTGGTTAGATATTTTCAACATTTATATATATCTCTTTTGTTTATTTTGGTTTTCCATTTGTATACTTAAGTCTTTTTAATTCTGTATCTACATCTTTTGGGGGAGTGCAAATTTAGTCTTCAGTTTGTCTTAGGAAAAGTTACTTATTCAGGGGATCAACTTGGACAACCTTCTCTGTATGCTTCCCAGCACATTTATTTTCATTTTGTAATATATGGAGACTAGAATTGAGCAGCATAATATAAATGAGGCAATTTGTATTAATTTCTGACCAGACACGTACCGCAAGGAAGTTTACGACACTATTCATTGACATTTGGGATAACTACTATGGCAAGAATGATATGCATTCATCTATGTTAGGTGTATCTGCATTAGTTATATCAGTTGATGTTTAAACTAAAAAATAGCTTTATGGATGTGTGAGAGATAAGGGATTGTTGTGCTATGGATTTTGGCTATACATAAGAACATAAGCACTGCAGCAGGCCTACTGGCCCATTCTAGGCATATCAAAGTCATCTGCTGGCCTAAGCTAGTCAGGTCTGAGCCACATCCACCCACACCCACTCACGACTGTCTAACCTATTTTTAAAACTATGCAGTGTTTTAGCTTAACTGATGCTACTCAGAACTTTGTTCCACTCATTCACAGCTGTTACCAAACCAATGCTTTCTTATATCCTTTCTGAATAAATTTTTCCAACTTGAAACCATTGTTGCAAGTCCTGTCTTGGTTAGATATTTTTAGGATCTTATTTACATACCCCTTTATTCCTGTTTTCCATTTATACACCTCATCTTTCTAGAGAGTTCAGATTCAGGGCCCTCAGTCTATCCTCATAGGAAAGATTTCTGATACACGGGATCAACTTTGTCATCCTCCTTTGTACATTTTCCAGCGCATTTACGTATATCCATTCTGTAATACGGTGACCAGAACTGTGCAGCATAATCTACACGAGGCCAAACCAATGATATATTGAGTTGAAGAATGACCTGAGGACACCTGTTATTTATACTTACTGATATGAAGCCAAGAATTCTGTTCGCTTTATTGTGAACACTTATGCACTGTTGCCTTAGTTTCAGGTTACTGCTAACCAAAACTCCTAAATCTTTTTTGCAATCAGTGATATTAAGTCAGTATTATCAAGTGTATAAGTGTCATGGTTATATCTTTCCACCACTTACAACTTTGCATTGGTGTATGTTAAACACCATCTGCCACTTCTCTGACCGCTGCATCAGTCTATTCAGATCTTCCTGGAGCACTCTAGTGTCCTCGTCAATGAATTTGACTGCCTATTTTGGTGTCATCAGCAAACTTACTTATGTTGCTATTTATTCTTTCATCTGTGTCACTTTTGTAAATTGTGAACAACAAAGGGCCCACCACTGACCCCTGTGGAACATAGCTTGTGATGCGTCCCCGCTCTGATTTCTCCCCATTTATGCAAACTCTGTTGCCTATGTATCAGCCTTGTTTCTATCCAGGAAAAAATTTCTCCTATTCATTGTTCTTCAACTTTCCTCAATAACCTCCATTATGGAACTTTATTAAAAACCTTAGTGAAGTTCATATACACAATATCATATTCATTACCATGATCTACCTCCTCAGTTACCTTAGTGGCAAAAAGTTAGTAAATTCATAAGGCAGGAATACCACTTGTAAAACTGTGCTGAGATTCATTAACCCCTTGACTGTCGCAACCCCGAATCCTGAGGTGTCTTCCGGTGTCGCAAAATCTACAAAAAAAAAAAAAAATTTTTCTTATGAAATGATAGAATCTTTTCCTGATTGCAACGACACCAAAAGAACGAAATTTGATGGAAAACTGACGGAATTACGCTCGCGAAGTTAGCGACCTCGGCGATATTTACGAATTGGCAATTTCACCCACTTTGAGCCCTATTTTCGGCTAATTCCATTGTTCCAGTCGACCAAACTCATAGCTATTTCTTTAGAACTCCATTTTTTCTATCGACTGAGTACAAGAAACTGCCCATTTACCAATTTCAACTACCCAATAACATGGTCAGAAATTTGCAATTTGGCCAATTTTGCAAAAATTAAAAAATATGACAATTTCAAAATAGGGTCCAGAATGAACAGTGCAGACATTCCTGGCTCTAAAATAACATTTTCTTTGTTCATCAGTCACGTCTCCAGGCCCTTCTGATATTACTCTTGCTTTCTATTTTGAATTTTTATTCAAACAAAAAATAGAAGATTTACTGTTATGCAGACTACTGCAATATTGTAATAATTGTATAAATAATGTCAACCCATTCATGACTGCATATTAGAATGGCTACTTGGACATTTATTGGAAAATGACATCATTTGTTTACTTTTGAACATCGGCAAAAATCAAACATTTCCCCTACTTTGAGCTCCATTTCAAGGTTCTTTTCATAGTAAAACCAATCAGAATCACCTCTGTTTCTATAACATGTTTTCTATTCTATCAAATGAGACCAAGAAAATGAGAATACAACCATAAATACTATACGAAAATAGACCACAAAGTTGGCATTTTAATTAAAAAAAAAAAAAAGGTCGGATTTTTTCTCTTGCACTGCGTGCTGCAGGATTTTTTGTATATGGTGCACACTGACCACAGAGACCCATTATCTCACATGTGGGCCTACCAGCTTTCTCCTGCTTGATTTGAAGCCACTAGAATTTGAATATATATACATAAAAAACGGTGGCTTGTAAGACGTATATATACGACCAAAACAGTCAAAGGGTTAACCCTTACCCTTTCAGGGTTCCCAGGCCCTCTCTGAGACTTGTTCTCAGGGTCCCAAAATCTAAAAAAAAAAAAAATATGAAAACAGAGAATCTTTTCCCGATCATAATGACACCAAAAGTATGAAATTTGATGGAAAAC